GGACTTTCCACGAATGTAGTTGGCACATCCATAGATGGCTTGGAATGGGTTTATTCATCGTGCGATTCCACGGCAGTGATATCGTAGTCGAATATCGGCTAATACGGCATGCCAAAAGAAAGATTGTTAATTTAACACGGTTAGACACGCAGATTTTACTGGCTTATATTGAAAAATAACAAATATCAAAAATTGGCAGGCTTTTATATAATATAATAAACAGAGTTATGGCTGTACGATACATTACTTCATCAATATGTTCGACATTTTTAAGACATTCAAACTCATTCAAATTACGAAAATTTCAAAATCTACACACATAGATGATGGTCTTACCGTGGGCGAAAGTTTTGTCCATTAAAATATCCATTCCCATTCTGACAAATAAGTTTCACAATGCATTGTAAATCGGTAAATCACACCTGAAGTAATATACATGTATCTTCGGATTTAAATCACAAATGAATTAAATGCACACCTCGCCAGAAGTCAACGTCAACCTTGACGCAACATGTACATTAACACGTATCGGTCGGATAATACCATGATGACCTTTTCATTTCGGCACCAAAGAGTCTGAGTCAATGCATACTGTCAATCAAGTTTCCAAATTACGTGAATTCACACGTGTCATCAAAAGGAATTGATAATTGACTATAATAGAAGCCCCTTTAACAACAAATTGTTACCATGTCGTAGTCTTGTAGACAATACTTTCATTCTGAATTGTCAGTAAGTAATTATTACCCAAAATAGTTGACCTCATTAATAAAGAATAATTACAATTGGGACGCGAACAAACTGGATTTTCACACTAAATAGGTGCGGTTGTCACGGCTAAATTACGAACGGGCTACGATGAATTAGGGTTAGGTTAGGGTTCCAATATCTTTCTTTAGGGTTAGGGTTCATTAGTCCACCGATATCTATCATTAGGGTTGGGTTAGGGTTCGGTTTATTGATACCCACATTATAGTATTTCTTATTTAACTAACGCATGCTTTTTTGTTAGGCAATTTCCTTTGTACTGTTTGATGTTCACTCTTTGATCAGTTACTATTAATCGAAGTTCATAAGATCTGGTTGTTAGGTCTTTTATTAAAGGTTCTTCGATATGTTCATTGATAATTACTGGAAAGAAACCGAACCGGATTATTATTTAGGATATTTATCGTCAACTGTATAAATAAGGTAAGCAGTTTGTGTGTTGCATTTATAAGCTAAAGTATAAAAAGAAATATTTGAAGGGGCTATTTAAGACATGATAGCCTTATACCTGTAACTGAAACGATTTGACGCATTGATCTGTTTTGCAATGTAGGGGAATGGGGAATCTACAAAGTCAAATAAGAAACTGAAATAAGTAAACAATCTTCCAGCTTCTATCCAATATGACTTTTAATTTTGGGGACATAAAGTACATGTATATATTGAACGTTGGGAGCCGAATCGTCATTTTAATTGAATTACCATTAAAGGAGAAAATATTCCTTCCTAGCAATTTATGCTAATTCGTTTATTTCTACGAATATCGTTAAATTGTTGTTCATAATTAAAACGGATAATAAATCAGTATATAAAACCCCCAGCATATTTTAAGACATCCACGTGCAAATTGCTACCTTTTATATATGTTTATTGTCGTCCATTTTCAGACATTGTTATCAGAATTCACGAAACATGGTTTCATTGTCTGCTTGTCGGATCAACTAATGACTTAGTAAGTTGCTATGTGTATGTGCTTTATGGTGTGATTCACGAATTAAATGCCGATGTAGATGTACATTATAAAGGAATAGAACATAACGGACATTTTAGGATATGAATACAATAATCATTGGTACACTTTAGTTAATAATCAAAACGGATTTTGAAAAGAGTATTATGAATATATGAATTACCGGTGAACTAAAACAACTAATATACTCGTGATATCGTTCCATTAAATTATTATTATTATTATTATTATTATTACAGCATATTTATAGTGCACCCTTTCATATAACATGTTCAGGGGCACTTTACAAAGTGACAATGTAAATCACACATAAACAACAAGATTATGGGCATGTTAACGATTGTATACAGAGTCAGTTAAAAGCCTGATTAAATAAATGTGTTTTAAGTTGTTTTTTAAAAGAATACAGAGATGTACAACATCTTAAACTAAATGGTAGATTATTCCATAAAACAGGTGCTTGATAACTAAAAGAGCGCTGACCATAGGAGACTAGTTGAACAGTTTTGGGCTTTTATGTGGCAATATGGACTAAATTACTCTGACTATTTCAAATCACTATGGACTATAATCCGCTGCGAATTTTATAATTTCGCCGACTATAATCCGCCGCGAATTTTATAATTTCGCGGGCGATAATCCACCGCGAATTTTATATTTTCGCTGACTTTTTTCTGCCCAGAACGTCTCTAATTCCGCGGAGTGTATATGGGTAAAACACTGCGATTTTTGAGCGGAAAAAACGCCCACAAGGACTATTTTCATACTTCCGCCTGAAGTGTACTGTATCTCTGCTTACCATAAGCAGACAATGTTTATCATCGAACCCCATCAAGGCATTCACCCAATGAACGTCTACACCAAGTTTGAACATTCTACCTCAATTAGAAGGAGAGTTATTGTGTTCCAAAGTATTGACCAATCAAATTGCTTATCGCTCTGCTTACCCTGAGCAGAAATGCTCACTATCAAACTTGGTCAAGGTATTGATGTGATAAAACTATACACCAAGTGTCCTCACTCTCACTTTATTATTTTAAACTAATGTTATCGTGTCGAAATGAATCAACTAATCAAATTGCGTATCTTTGCTTACCCGAAGCAGAAAATTCTCATCTTCGAACTCCATCAAGGCATTCACCTAATAAACACCTACACCAAATGTGAACATTCTTGCTTAATTAGCATTAGAGTTAATGTGTTCCAAAGTCTCAACCAATCAAATTGCTTACTGCTCCACTTACCCTAAGCTGAAAATGCTCATTATCGAACTTAGTCAAGGTAATGATATAACGAATCTATACTCGAAGTTTCATCACTCTCACTTAATTAAAACCAAAGTAATCATGCCCCAAAGCATTAACCAATCAGATTGCTTATCTCTGCTTACCGTAAGCAGACAATGTTTATCATCGAAGTCCATCGAGGCATTCACCTAATAAACACTTACACCAAGTTTGAACTTTTATAAGCCCACCTAGTAACGAGTCTTGGGTCCTAATTAATGACCTCAAGACAATAACACCCCTCTAAATGTGAAACAGGAAGTGTTTATCGACATTGTAACATGCTATTTTTAAGGATTTTATTGTGTAAACTTCAAAATTAGTCAAACTGCAAATCGGTTACCTGAGCGCAAACTGGTCTTCCTCCTTCAATCGCCGCAACGATGGCGACCACACAGTGGTCGGCATTCGGTAAACCCCGGTAACCGGTTTAAGCCAAGGTGGGCCGAATTAATTGTCGAATCCATGTCAAGATAAATTCAGTTTTAAAATGCCAGAGTCTCGGGTCGCTGGTAAATAAATTATGAAAGAAAATGTTATTCAGATATTTTCAATAAAATATTTTTTTAACGTTGGAAGATTTTTTTAAAAAGATCAGTAAATTACCGTTTTTTCTTAGTACATTTTTTTTATTGACCTGTAGGCGTAATGCCAGCCGTGATTGAAATAGTTACGACCTGCTAACCGAGACGAGATCGGTAACTCTTGGCAACAATATGATGGCTACGCTTCTTTCGAAGTTTATAATAACATGGGTAAGTTTTTCACCTTTATTTGCAGACCGCCAACACAATTTTATTGCTAGTTCTTGTTTAAAGAGCAGTTCTTGCTTACATCGCCAAAATATCCTATAAAACTATGTAATGCCTAGGATTCTTGCGGTTGCTAAGTACATGTACAATGTGTTGTCAACCAATAATGTCAATTTTGGCTTAATTTCCCATTATTAGGCCCATCTCAGTTGCTTTTTCATCTCCCTTATTACACTTTCAAGCGATTTCTGGTGACTAATGCCTCATTATTAGGCAGATCATGTTAGTCATTAGATCAAACCTTGATTTAAAATTTCCACTTTAAGTAAACATTGCAGAGTGCAAAAAAAAAAGAAAACAAAATTGTCTAAACTGCCTAGTTACAAATAATTTATGACTGATTTTCTACTGTTTTATGTATTTCAGAGATTTAAGTTGAGGAAGATGGTTAAGCACTAAAATGAAAAAAGTACACTGTAATATTTATACGCAGTTATTTGCCTTACTTAAAGATGGGTTCCCGCGTACAAACTGGGTGATTTAATGGCATATATGGACCAAAAACATATTCAAACTAATTAATTTGTCATAATTATGCTTCAAATCCTTCTCAAACATTGTAATTGCAAAGGAATGCCCTGCTATTAAAATTCGATCAAACCAGGTCGTGTTTACGTCACGTCTTGGAAGTCAGAGGAGAATCCATTGCATACATAAGACAATGTTGCCTTTAATCGCTTACTATTTATTACAAATATAGAATCCTAATTAAATTCTCGGATTATCCACTACCCACGTCTTTTTCCGTCATTTTTATCTCAGAAAGTGTTGTACGTCTAACTCTTCATAAAGTTTATCAACTTGTACAACAAGCGCTCAATGTTCGCTTGTGACCTTTGACATAACGCGTGCAGAAGTTTTTAATCGTCGGGCTGTTGATTAGGGGAACCCTTACGTTTTTGTCCTGTATACGCTCCATGAGTGTTTTTCGGGGAATCCAGTATTTTTCTAGTAAGATTGGATATCTCTACTTTCCATATATACCAAAATTGCCATAGTTTTATTGGAAATTACCACCCGATAAATATTTTTCTGGGAACCCATCTTTAAACAGAGGGGTGTTATTGTCTAAAACGCAAGATTCAACCTTAACCATGTTACAATTAAATATAAAATGAAAGTTAATTAGCCATTCAATGACTTATCATACATGTTGTAACTTACCACTTTCCATCTTTCCTTTACCAACTGATTTGGTAGTAGTAGATCTTCTGTGGTCATACTGACTGACCAGTCAATTACAACTACATATATCTAACCCATTACTCAAATACGGCATAGTTTCACTGAAATACAAAAATATCATTACCAGTTAAGTCTTCATCACCACAGCCTAAAGTGTTTCAAATTCTACTGCAACAAATATTAGTCTAATTGTTTAAGCGGCATTTAGTAACTGAATGAGCACTTAAAGATACATTATGGGAGATTCGGTAACGAGTTGGCAGTTCTCACTATAATAGTTAAAAACTAGATAATGTAAAGGCAATTTGGTGAAAATTTCATTCAAATTGATCCAATATGAACCGAGAACTAAGCGACTGAAATTCCCGTAATCCTAGGTCATCATTACTAAAGTCAGTACGATAAACAGCATAGTCTCGATTATTCGTTTAATCGAGAAGGAAAGTTATGCAGTAAATCGGCTTACAATCCACTAAAGATCGCAGGCTAGCGCTGTCATCTAGAGTTGATTATGGCCTGGATAGGTTAATTAATGTCTAATTAATAATTTAGATAACATTCCAGGCCTAAAGAAAGACCTGAAATAGGCAGATTTAGCTCTTGCATAATATAATGTATGTTTAAAAGATTTATTTCTGATAATGCTTTGATGAAGGTTCTCCCATCTTTATCAAGCAAAGAATTACCAGTAGCCTGGACAGAACCATGTCAAATTTGGATGCAGGGTTAATAAAGGTCATATTTACAATTGATTGTGACGAAAATGACCATCACCTTGTTAATGGGTAGATTGAGACAACCTTCCCCATATATTTTGTCCAGAATAATATCCATTGTACTTTGTAGTCGAAGCAGAGACAATTTAAAATCTGTGATGTAATTATCGTTTTGATGAAAAATATTGTCAACTTTGCTTACTAACGCCCGATGTGATTTGCGTTGGGCTTTGCTACGTGGAACTATATAGCACCATCTCTTATCTCGAAACACGGAGGGTTGACAGATGAGGTTTGTGATCTACATGTACTTCGAACCACATCAAGGCATTGACCTAATAAACACCTAAACCAAGATTGAGTATTCTAGCGCAATTAGAAGGAGAGATATTGTGTTCCAAAGTCTCGACCAATCAAATTGCTTATCGCTCTGCTTACCCTGAGCAGAAAATGTTCATTATCGAACTTAGTCAAGGTATTGATGTAATAATGAAACTATACCAACTTTCATCACTCTCACTTAATTAGAACTAAAGTTATTGTGTCCCAAAGCATCAACCAATCAAATTTAATATCTCTATTTCAGCAATAACTAATTTCAGTTTTGAAAACCCAATTGTAACCAGTGTCTGCGATTTATTCACACTTAAACATACATTATGCAAGAGGTAAATCTGCCTATTGCAGGTCTTTCTTTAGGCCTAAAATGTTATTTAAACTATTAATTACACATTTATTAACAAAACAAGACCATAATAAACTCTCGTTGGCATCGGATACTCAAGATTTTAACTAGATTAGAACAGTTCGCCATTTAAAAATTAAATTTAACCACCAGCTGCCAGGCAGGATACGCCCACATTTTGCAAGATATGGATAGAGAAGATAAAACAAACAGGATTTTTTGTACAATCAGGTGCAAAAATCCAGAAAGTTATGGTCTGAAATGCACAAATATCAAAAGGGACTGAGATCTTTGGGATATAATGATATGTTTTAAGTTTCATCAGAATTGGATTAAAATTGTGACCTCTAGAGGGTGAACAACCTTCGTATTGCATACTTTTACACAATTTGCGTACAAAGAGCGGCCATTTTGTCGGGCAGTTTCATTTCGTTTTTCCCAAAATTCGAATTCAACCCTCATTATGGTGGAATGGTGAAATATTTAAACTGTTTTTAAAATCAAAAAAAAAAATTGTAACCTCTAGAGAATCCGCAAGCTAAAAATGTGATTTTTCGAACAATCAAGAGCATAATCCAGGAAGTACGCTCTGATTTCACGATTATCAAAAGGAACCAAGATCTTATTGTGAAATCGTGACCTCTACATGTACATGGACGCCAAGCTAAAAACGCGAATTTTTTGTACATTCAATGGTCATAATTCAGGAATTTACGATCCGATACGCACAAATATCGAAAGGAACCAAGATCTTTGGGTAAAAAACATTATTTCAATTTCACCTCTCATCAAAATCTGATAAAAATTGTGACCTCTAGAGGGTCCACAAGCTTGATATACCAGATGCTATACACTATATGCGTACGAGGGGCGGCTTTTGTTCGGCAGTTTTGGCTTGATTTTCACAAAATTCGAACTCAATGAACATTACGGTGTAACAGTGATATATTCGAACATTTTTTTTTTTAAATCAGATAATAATTGTGACCTCTAGAGGGACAAGCATACAATCAGGGGCCATAATTCAGGAAGTTACTATCTGATATGCCCGAATATCGAAAGGAGCCAAGATCTTTGATTTATAAACATGTATTTCAAGTTTCAACAAAATTGGATGAAAATTGTGACCTCTAGAGTGTCCACAAACTAAAAACATGATTTTTCATACAATCAGGGGCCATAATCCATGAAGTTATGGTCCGATACATGCCAATATCGAAAAGAACCGAGATCTTAAGGAGATAAACCTATATTTCAAGTTTCGTTGAAATTGGCTAAAAACTTTTTGACACCAACTATTACATATACCATTATAGTTATTATTACTATAGTTACAATATACTGCAAATTAATTTACTAATTGATCGTAAAACCGAAAGTACAACACCATTTACGACATCCAAACCTTTAACATTGCAGTGCCATAAATTGGTCTGGGTGACCTATTTACGGCAAATATACAAATTTAAAGACCGTAGAATTGTAAAATGAATAGACCTACACAACTTCTAAATATAAATAAACAAAATACCAAAACTTCTTTCTTTAAACTAATTTGGGATGATAGGATCTACTACGGCACACAAAAATAAATTATGCCGTGGCAGACATGGTTTGCGTAGGCTCTTACCATGACTTTGCCGTTTGCCTTTGTAAATTTCAAGCGATCGGTTTGTGTACAGAGAAGGACGAAGGGGTTTAAATACGACTGGGTGGCTTTCTTCGATTTTTTCTTTGTGCCACCCGGCGTGGGCACATCCCTGTATCTTAATCAAACTATTTACATTTATTTGTATCTTTGTGTCCTTTTGAGACTGTTTATAATTATATAGTGTTGTTAATAAAATACCGTGAAGCAGTGTCAACCAGCCGGTATCTCATGATCGAGGCTATCTCATGGTGGACCTTCTGGGACCGTTGCTAGTCACGTAAATAAAATAATTTAGCAGGAATTAAAAGTCATTTATATCTTTCTGTGAATTTTATTACAAATGACAAGTGCCTTGTAGATGTGGTCTTTGATGAATGTTGTTGCTACCATTCCTTGGTTTGGATGACAGATGTGATCCGGCTCTATCACTTCCTGTTTTACGGATGGACTTCGTTACCGTTTATTTTTTCACATTCACCTCTAGCTTACTTTACTTGTCACCTACGGTGTCATGTTCATAAACAAATAGTGGATTTTAATGTGTTAATTCATTGTTCATATTTAAACGCAGTTTTACAGGACAAATTTTTGACCTCTCTAAATTTGACCAAATAATTATGGAAGTGCGTAATTATTACGGATGAAAACGGACATGCGGCGGGTCATGAGAAACAAATAATTAATTAACCGCGGCGTAATTAAACATACCCAGCGTCGTTCTGGCCGAATGTTATGTACGTAGTGACACAACTTTCACTTATCTGCAAATTTTGTCAGTAAAGTTAATCAACCTGTGTTTTTTAAAAGAAGTGAACAGCTATTTATCATTACAGTGCATTAATCATACACGACCAATAACCGTAGTACTTATGATATTCCCGTTGACTTAGTTACACATTTTGATTAGCTGTTTTACACAATATATATTTAGCCCTGCCTTCATCAATCATGATGTCAAGCCCTTTCCGGTATTAAAGCCTTAATTTGCACATCGGCATTTTCCAGAAAGAACTATTGCCTATCTTCAATATCTTAAGACTAGCCACAGTCTAGAGCTAAGTTAAATCTTGTGAACATCAACTATGATCAACATGGTCATTATTTTCTCTCCAAATAAAACTTATTCTGATCAACAATTCCCAACTTTATATTGAATAGAGATATTTTGATGTTCGACAAATATGCATAGTATGAATACTTAGCCTGCTAGAACATAGAGACTTCGAGTCACACTGTCTATACTATTTTGCGGTGCCGAATCATTATCATTGTTTATTTTCAGTTAATTTTTCTAAAAGAACTTCTTTGACCTCTATATAACAAATTCTAACGATACTATCAATATATTGATATTGCGAATATCTAAATTGGGTTATATCAACTCACCTAAAACCGAAACATACTTTATAATACCACAGACATCATAATTAAAGCCAGAAGATTATAAATTCACGTCATTCTGTTAAGGTATGTCGCATCGCCATGGTTCACTTCCGGCTTTCACAGTGAGGCCTTAGCAAGTTGAAGGTCATCGATGGTTTTAGGGCCACAGTCCACACATCCCTAATGATTTCCCCATTGACTTTCATGTTAATTCTCGTTTATTAGACCGGTTTAACTTTCTTCCCAAATGTTCGTTCGGTAGAACGCTTTCTACCACAGATGGAGCAACATGTGGTAACCTCTTGTTCAAAAATACGTATGAGGTCCACCATAGAAAAATTGAGATACACAAACTGGAAGTAAAGACTATAAAACATGCAATTTTCCGCCCCACATTTCAACCTAACCAACCTCTCAACACTTGTATTTTTCCGCCTCAAAATCATGAGTATTCACTAAAATCATGGCAGATAATGTATTTTCAAATCCTTTTCTTCGATTCTACACCAAAAAGTCAACAAAAATCGCCATGCAAAAGGGGGGGGGGGAGAAAGACTAAAAATAACTCTCGCCCTTCACAACGGGAACTTGAGTAATTGGCCATTATCTCTGAGAAAGGATTAAAAGTTAGAACCCACGGAATACCACTGTGAAATGCGTTTATATTTTATTTTCCGGTGAACGGGTGGCAAAATCAAAATTCAATTAATGGGCGATAACTAATTGATAACAAACAGGAAGGGATTAACTCCCTTATATCATAAATTTTTCGTGATATAAAAGTCCCCTTACAAATGAGACAAAAAGACCCGTTGTCTTGTGAAAATATTGTAAACGTTCTGCAGATCGAAGCTCATTTGTCTTTAGTTCAGCTCTGAACGTAGGTCTCATTACACTCGCCCTGTACTGTGCAACTGACGATTAGAAAAGTTTTAATTTACATGCAAGAGATGGGTATTTATACCACAACACGAGATAGGATGTAAGATCATATAAAGTATGTAGATTGTTCCGTTAGAAAGGCCAAATATTATTAGTTTTAATCATGACTGTCGTTAAGTAATATTTTACGATTACATGTAAAATCGGAACAATCAAACATATATTTATATCTTTTTGGATATGTATCTATAATGAGATATAGCTTTAAATTAAAATTACTTTAAATATGCAATTAATACATTTTACACTCACAGAAGTTAGATAAATGGAATAACGAAAAGGTGACAAGCAAATACACAATACAGTACTGGCCAAATTAATAGCAATTTTTTCTAAAAACGTTGCAGAATTAACTCACTAAAATTGAAGTATGAATAAAATCATACACCGTCAATATATTGAACTGAATATTCTTACACATAACCATATTGACATCTACTTCACATTGCATGGTTGGTCGACGCAACGCCGTGTATAGACAAAGTTGCGACAACTGTGAAGCCAGGAATTTCATATGACGTCATGCAAACTTATTATCTATTTATATGACCTATTATATTGTTGGATGTCATAGATTTCAGCGAATAAGTGTCTATAGCACATAAAACATACATTTTTTAAACGAAAAGTATAGCTGAACATACTATTATTAGTATTATACAACAAGAAGCGCACATTATTGTTATATAGCTTTATTCTATAAGAAAAATCAAAATAAAAGATACACTAGATAAAAGTACTATTAAACATATTTAACTTGCATTCGCTTTTAAAGGAGCTAAATCGCTAATATTTGGGACCTAGAAATTGTCACAAATGGGTCGTACTAACAGCGACATTTGTTTCAGGCATATTTGTTTCATCGCTGACACGTCTGGTGTCATGTGAATGCAACGACAACAGCCTGGTTGATTGATTTGTTGATTGGAGTTCAGATGTCTACATTAAAATCGACCACTTTCAGGTTGCCGTATTCACGGCCAGGCAAGACCGACTTGAAATGTCTAGAATTTTTTCTGGGGGAGAGAGGCCCAACAAATCCCCCGACGGTGCGTTTCACGACTTCGGCGGAAGACGGTAACCTTGAAGAGACGTCGAAAACCATTTAATAGACATAGTAAAAGTCATATCTTACGAGATTATCGCTGGTCTTGTCGGAAAATGCTATTTTATATTTGACAGTCATTTTGAAAGAAATGCCCGGCGCCATACATGTGAAAAATACATTTTTTGATTTTTGTCAAATTCGGTTTTCGGCACATTTCGCCTCTATGACCAGTTTGTGTTTGAAAAATTTAAAAAGAAATTATTTATTCCCCCACCATTAAAGCACACTAATTACGAAATATCGCTCTCAGAAACTTCATGGTTTCTTTTGCAATTTGTTTGGGGTAAGACGTTATCACTCCCCGCCTATGTATAAATAATATCAATCTGTCTACCACACAAATTTAATAGATACAAATGCATGTTATTCCACAGGTAGACAGACAGGGCCTCCTTTGAAGGGACTCAGTGAAGGGAACGCGGTTGGTTTAGAGTTTGTCTGACCCCTTTGAATATTTGCGTCTCATCTTCAATGAAAACAATCATGTTGCTCTGATGCTGTCCTCAACCAGAATCAAACATATATCGTACCTGAGATTTGTTAGCATGTTCCACACAACCCAACATTTATCGGCACCGGGATTAAAGGAGCTAAATCGCTAACATTTGGGACCTAGAAATTCACAAAAGTGGGTCGCAACGCATATAATACTGTAATATGAATGTATATAAACTGATTTACATTTAATGGTTTCCGTTTTTACTCCAATTTCAAATCAGTTATGTTCGGCGAAATAAGTCAGCAATCTCAATCGAGTGCAAATTTCTAGCGTCTAGTTATTCTAGTCTACATAACTCCATTTGATTTGGTGCAATGTGTCTAGCCTCGTCCCTCGAGTCTCTCAATACAACTGGGGCTGAAGCGCTGATTCGTGTACCAATGTTAAAAAAATAATTTTATCTTAAATATCGGATATCAGAAGCTCATCTTTTCCCGGTAAGTTTACATCATCAATGTTGATTTAAATTGACCAATAATTCGTGTTTTCGATGTCGAAGATTTTGGAGGATTTTGAGTTACGGACTTAGGTCCTTTAAGGGTGTATATCTTTGTTTCTAACGCTTATTGAGAATACGCCACGGAAACTACAATAAAAACTTATTTACAAAAACATTCTAAAGAGTGAAAACTGACATATTTCAAGCTTTACTGTATTTAAAGAAATAATTTAAATCAGCCGGCTGAAACCCCGTCTCCGCTATTTGTTCAATCATTCTTTAGGTATAGTGCCAGTTTCCACCGACAATGATATCGCAAACAAGTGTCCAATCTATAAAAGCATACATTCCTACAAAATGTTTCTTTAGTCAAGTGAAACAATAAATTCATAACTAGGCTAATCGGACAATAGAGCAAGTTCACCTTGATGTTGACAAATACGTAAGACGATATGAACATCAACTAAAAAGATATGTAATGTGATTCAGCTGCAAGGTGATATATGCATGCAGCATAGATAATTAAAATCTCTATTCAAGTTAAACCAACTGTATCTATATTTAAGTATTACGTCGAGCTGAATACATTTTAGGATTTATTGTCATTAAAACATCTATTGGTGGTTAACAGTGTGTAACTAAAAACTAAAATTGGATCTTATTATTGCCAATGTGTACCTTGCATTTTATATCACGAAGTCTATCGCATCCAGATATTTAAAGCGCGTTTACAATATATTCATTTTTTTTGTTATTTCAGGATGGATATATCGTAAAATTCATCTTCATTTGACGAACTACACCCAAACTACAGTCAGTGTAAACACGGTTTGGAGACTGTATCTGAACTACAGGGTACATCGAACTACAGGAAAAATGACGATTAATTTAATATCTGCCAATTTGTGTTGCTGCTATCTTTTGTGTTTATCTTCAAATTCAGAGACATCGAAAACCATATAAAGGACATAGCAAAAGTCATATCTTATGTATCTTAAGAGATGCCCTTTTAGTCTACCAAATTTATGTGGTTTTTTTGTTAAATTGCCTTATATTACCAAATTCGGCAGCCATTTTAAAAGAAATGCCCGACACCACATGGAAAATACATTTCTTTAATTGATGTTTGTCAAATTCGATTTCCGCACATTTCGCGTACATAACCACGATATAATGGTCGAACATTACGTACATCAGATAAACTACTTTTAAAGCCCCAAACTGTTCAACTAGTCTCTTTTAGTTATCAAGCACCTGTTTTATGGGATAATCTACCATTTAGTTTAAGATGTTGTACATCTCTATATTCTTTTAAAAAACAACTTAAATCACATTTATTTAATGAGGCTTTTAACTGACTCTGTATACAATTGTTAACATGTCCATAATCTTGTTGTTTATTTATGATTACATTGTCACTTTGTAAAGTGCCCCTGAACATGTTTTATGAAAGGGCGCGCTATAAATATGCTGTAATAATAATAATAATAATATTACCAAATTTGGCGGCCATTATGAAAGAAACGCCCGGCACGATATAAAAAATACTTATTTTTTTTAAATTTATGTTTGTCAAATTCGATTTTTCGGCACATTTCGCTTGCATAACCACTCTGTATTTGAGGAATTTAAAAAGAAATCATTTATAATCCAATGAGTAAATAGTAAAACACACTGATTACGAGATATCGCTCTCAGAAAATTCCCCGATTTTGGGTATGATTTTGTTTGATATATTTATCACTGAACCAAACTGCATTGGTTTCTTTTGCATTTTTTTTTAGGGTAAAACGTTATATTATCCCTCAACGCCTAATACTGCAAGAAAAAAACAAATTTTGGTATGTAAACCTGTATGAAGCCATGACATCATAGCTTTTATGGCCTCATAATTGGGACCCAAAATGGCGCCTGGAAATGAGTTGTCGTAACTTTCCCCACAGTCTACTCGCTCATGTGCTCATCGTTGTATTCCAACTATCGTTGAAAAAATCAATTTACGTCGATTTTTGAACATTTTAAAAGCCATAGTTCGATTCGGCGCCCAAGAAAAGATATAATTAAACACCAAAAACATGGAAATCAGTCAAGTTGAAGCGTTTTGGCGTAAAACACCTGTTTCGGCGAGATGACGTCATTGTGACGTCACACAGTCGTAATGACGTCATGCACGACCATTGAAATCATTGTTTTTTGAGTGTGCTTGTCCTGTATTCTCCCCAAAACGTAACTGATGTTCTTGTATTAGAGAATTCCCTAATGACCGT